GCCCATGCAGGCAATCTGGAGGGTCCTCGCAGCACTAAACTGCAGACCCTCCATCAAAATCGAGGCCGGTAGTGAGTATGAAGTAGAGCACGAGTTGGCCCAATATATCCTCAGGATTGAAGTTCAGGTCTGTGTTTCAGCAGTTATGGGTTGCTCACGTAGCTAGGCAGTGTTGGTCTGCAGAGTCTGCACGTGATTCTCAGGGCTTGGCTGCACTACTCACGTAATGTGCAAATTTGCAAACTTAGAAAGAATCTACCGCAGAATGTGGAATAATACACCGCCATATGTTTTGTCTTTTGTGTATCTGGTGAGTAACGGCCCTTAGGGCCACTGCACGTATTCCTAAGAAAACGAAAACTAGAAAAGAAAAGAAATAGTGAGCAAATTTTCAAAATTAGAAACAATCTACCGCAGAACGTGGAATAATACACCACCATATGTTTTGTCTTTTGTGTATGTGGTGAGTAACGGTCCTCAGGGCCACTGTACGTATTCCTGAGAAAACGAAAACTCGAAAACAAAAGAAATAGTGAGCCATAACCGAGAATCCGAGATGCACATCCTTGAATTCGAATCCAGAGTATATATTCTCTGCTCACGTTGGTGACTGGAAGTTTGAAGTTCGCCTCAGCTGCACGTAGGGTCCTAGCTAATTCGCTGTAAGGGCCCTTCGAAAAAGAGGCTGGACACAATTAGGAAATGAATACTCGCATGTATAGACGAGTGCCAACAGTTTCGGGGTATCGCGTGGCCCGAACTTTTCTCCCTCTTGCTTTCTAATTTTGAGAAGTGAGGGGAGTGGTTGGCCACCCCACTCTGAACTTTCAATTTTTTTTTATTTTTTATTTTTTTGATTCGCCGCATCACGTGCGGCGCATCTCATGCGCGTGCGCTTTGCGCCGCATGTGCCGCGCCCCCACGCATGAGATGCGCCGCAAGTATGGTGAGGATACTATACAACGACGCACAGGGCATAGTGCAAATCAATGGCTTCCTCTCCAACCCGTATAGAATGTCAAGATCAGTCAGACAAGGCGATCCTTTGGCAACATCAATCTTCCTTTTCGTAATGGAAGCCATTGCAGCCTTCCTAAGAAAAGACCCGTCCATTGAGAACATCAAGGACGAAAGTGGATTACCTCTTCATATTCCTACCACCCTCCTTTTTGCAAACGATCTCACAGTAAAGTATACATCAGGGCATTTAACTCATCATTCCAGGCGTTGACAAGAGCAATGCAAGCTTTCCAACTGGCCTCTGAAATGAAAGTGAACTGGTCAAAAACAATAGGAGGCTGGTGGTTCTCGAAAGTCCCACCCCCTAGAAATGACTCCAGAGGGGATGCGTTGGGCAGACCTTTCGGCTCCAATATGCATCCGTGGAATCAACCTAAACGCGAAGGGTTGCCACAACTCATCGGCCACTTCCCTACTATCGTCAATGGTCAACAGAATGCATGTGTGGAAGGGTGTGCACACCTCGCTATTAGGTAAAGTCCTAGACTCCTAGCACTGAACAACTCAATTCTAGCTATCATGTGGTACGCTACCTCCATACGGTTCCCTTTCGATGGCTTCCAAAGCCAAATCAGAAAAAAACACAGCAGCATACCTGTGCAGAGGCAACCCTGACAACCAACAATTCATCCACAAGGTGACCTGGCAAACAATCACTCAATCAAAAGCCAAGGGAGGCCTGGGACTAGACCCAGCCCGCCAGATTGAGGCACTTCTAATCAAGTGGATCCTAAGAATCTCTCTCCAGGATAGCCTACAATGGACTCCTCTCCCCTTAACCATATCAAAGAGCTAGCCCCATTCAGATCTCCAAAGAACATGTTAGGACTTTTTTTGGATCTTCAACAAGCACTGGTTACTTTCCAAAAGCAAAAAAAAACAATGCCCACAACCGGCCCAAGACCCTACAAATGAGAATGAACCCTCGAAATCCCTATGGTCACAGATCGTGCACATCTGGAGAAGCATATTCCCAGAAAATAGGATAGGGCCCAAGAAAAGAGATGAAGTACTCAGACAAACCCTCTTTGGAAATCCCTGGATCATAAATGACAAAGGAGAAAGCTTCCCCCTCTCCAAATCAGAGGCCAAATGGGGTCAATGGGTAGAAAAAGGAATCTGGTAAATCCATCATCTTTGGGAGGACACAATCAGCACATGGAAATCAGAAAAAGACCTAAGATCAGCACTAAAAGGTACCCATCATCTTCAAACAAGCATCAATCAAATCATAAAAAGCATTCCCTTAGAATGGAGGTGCCTAATATGTTAAGCACAAAATGGCAATACGGCAATTCGGTTGTAACAAAGGATCAAGAAACGATGGTAGAAGTACTGAGATTCAAAACCTACGAAAACCAAAACACTAACCGAATCTGCTGCGATATCTTTACCCTCGTTGAGCGAGGTAACCCAACACGCTTCCTCGACAAGGAGAGTAGAGCAGCAGCATCGTTCATAACAAACACCTCGTGGAGAATAAGAGTCATCGAAGGAGAAAGCAACAGAGTCTTCAAGCCACAAACAAGTGTAATGAAGCCTGCAGATTCTCAGTGGACTGTACATTGGTCCGAGGGCGAAGCTCGGGGCTTGCGTCGGTCGGGTCGCGTCTTAGGTTAGATTCATAATTTTGTTTGACTGAGGGCTAACCGCGACAGTTGACTGTGAGGAAATCCGTGAGGGACATATCTGCAAATTTGGGAAAATTATAGGCCCGCACTAACGGAATTCCCTACAGTTACCCTAACTGCGTATAGCAGGCCCGGGGTACCCCTAGGATGGACAGGCCCCAAGGGCCTATGCCAATAGACGGTCCTATAGCCTATAGCCGGGTAGGGAGAGGCCGAGAGGCCGAAACTGAAATGACACCGGTCGGTCCAGTCAGCCCAGTTTAGGTCGTGTCTAGGTTAGTGTAGGTTATAGATAGGATGGGCACATCGGTTTAGGGCTTTTGGCCGTACATCGCTACTGTGCTACGCGTGAACCGTAAGTGGTGACGGCTCAGCGTTGAGGGAGACAGACATAGCCAGACCTTCGAAGCGCCGGCCATAGCTGGGACCTGCGCTGTACTCTGTCAGCACGCGGGGCTGTACAGAGGTCTGGGCTATTCGAGGTCTACTGGAGGCGGGAGAAGTTGGTGCCCTGCTGGACCCTCCTCTGGAGTAGGGTTACAGGGTTGTGGCGCTGCAGCCATAGTTGCAGCCTCTTCCTCAAAGATCATCTTATCAGGAGTGGTGGAGCTGCTGCAGACTTCCACCAGGGGAGTCGTCCGACACTTCGTCATTATAAGATATTGTGGCGCTGGTCTTCTTCTTCATCCTCTGAGTGGCGCTTGGCCTCAGAGGCCTGTTTCAGGGTGGCGCTTCCCTCTGGAGGCTGTATTTGGGTGGCGCTTGATGTTTCAGGGACTCAGGGGTAGTAACGGCGGTTCATCAGGGTTGGGGAGTGAAGCGCTGCTCATTTTTTAGCAAGGCATCATACTTCTGAGTTTAATAAACAGTGTTGATACTGGGTTAAGACTATCATCGTTTCATTGTGTCTTGGATGTGATCTTCTCAGCTTTCCTTTATGACTGGTTGTGAGGATTGAGTGGAGTGAATTGCACTTTCAGTGTACCCTGTCATATCGCATCGTCAAGTCTTCCTCCGTGTTTATCTCTCCCTGCGCGGTGTGATACTCCTATCCTCTCCCATTCCTTCTGTGTATGTATGGGCATACCTGGGAGTCTATGTGAGTGAGTGTTGGTCTTCAGACAACAAACAACAAGAATCATAACAGTTGGTATCGGAGTGATTGGATCCGGACTCTGGAGCGATTGATGAGTTGGAGCAACTATCACTATCTGGTGAGACACTGGAGTTGAGATTCATGGCGAATTATCATCTTCAGGGTTGGCGATAGTGAGGGTGGTGGTGGTGAGTGTGTGACGAGAAGAATTGGACAGAGGGTGACACACTCCTGCGTAGGGTTGTGTAGGAGTGGTTGGCGATTGGTGCTCAGAGGCCTGAGAGGCTCTGAGAGGCTATTTTTAGCTTAGCGATTCATTTGGAGGCTGGCGATTGGCAGGATGTGATCCCAGGGTCTTGCGGTTTTGGAATTGGGTCAAGATCCCCAATTTCCAAGCAGCGTTGTACAGGGTGCAGTGGCGTTGCACTGAGTTACTCAGTTATCAGCATCTGGGAGTCCTAATTCTGTCTTTCTGTCAGTTGAGGGTGAAGCGCCTGAGGGTAATCTGTTGGATCACCAAGTTTCAAGACGTTTGGTATGTGGGAACACTGGGAATGAACAGGGGATGAAATTGGCGAGATGGTGTTGACCAGACATCCATAGCCAGAGTTTCATACATCTTCTTCAAGGATAACCCTGAAGTAATTGTGTTCCTTACTCTACTTTGTGTGGCGATTCTGGGACTATTTTTAGATTAGCGAAATATGGTATGTCAGTGTGTTGACAGTTGAAAGTCGAAATTCAGACTGTGGGACAGCCATAGCCAATTTCCCCTACCTATCTTCTTTGACTTCTACTAACCCTGTTTGACCTCCTTTCTAACTCAAATTTTATCTTGGACTGCTTTACAGTACTGCGATTCATACTGTGTAGTGAATTGGTGAGTTCAGGGTCCTGTTGTTAGTGATACTGCAATTTTGAATTCTGCGTTGCCATAGCTGAAGCTAGGCTAGACTAGGGTCAGTCATAACTTCAATTCTGTCCGTCAGAATTCAATTCTGCCAGTCCCTGGTAAATCGCAATTCGGTATACAGCCAGTGTCTGAAATCGCACAGTCAAATTTGATGTTCTGAGTCAGTTACAGTGAAAACTGTAATTCGCCATACCTAGGGTATGGCATACAGGGTCATACAGTGGTGAAGTCTGTAGGGTAGGTCTAAAAATAGGATTACCTGAAAATCGTTGCACCTTGGTCATAAGTGGACACCTGTTTATCCCTAATTAGTCACTCTATCTACTTACTGATCAACACTAATCAATCCAGGATTGCATCCTGCAAGTTATTGGTGCAGGATTTGCAATTATTGCATGCAATTGTTGTGTCAGGGCAATGATTGGAAATTCGTGAAATGGATTTTTGTTGAGTCTACTCTAAACTGACCCTGACCCTCAAGCAGTCTGCAGAGACTACGCACTCACTTGCTCTGACTAACCAACTTTTTCCCTCTCCAGGCAGGTGATTGCAATCGAGTAAGTACTGAAGAGAAAACTCAATTCCTATTACCTCCTGTTTGTCTTCTGGTTATTTGTTTATTTTTATTTATCTAAATTGTGGGATACATTAAATGGCAGATGCTGAGAAGGAAGAGGCCTTCGATGTGAAGCCTCAAATTTCGCTTGACCCTTTAGAGGCTGAACTGCGTGCCCAGGAGGAGAAACTCCGCCAGCAGGCACTGGCAGTTGAGGCTCTAAAGGCTGAGCTGAAAAGAAAAGAAGCAGCAACTAAGAAGGAGGCCAGGAGAAAGCTGCTGATTGCTGATGTTGAGAAGATCAGGACGAGTGGTACTTCCAGCTAGTACAATAAGGACATGGTTGAGTTCATCCTTCCACATGATGATATTCACCGTTCTTATTTTACTAACTGGGACGAGAGGATCACCAGTCTTGAGAGCAGCCAGCCACTCGACTTTTTCTAAGAAGCTGGATGACATCTCTTCCAAACTGGATCTGATCTTTACACATTTAAAGATCCCAACCACCCTGACCATTCCTCCATCTCCTGGGCCCTCTCAAGCAGACCCTTAACAACTCCCACAATCCAGACCCACATCTCCTCCCTCTACACCCAAATCAGCAACACCTTCATAAACCTCATCTCCATTTGATTTCCAGCGGTCGAAGTTGACCCCTCCACATATGTTCTCTGGCGAGGACCCAAAGGTGGATGTCGCAGATTGGGTCACTGCACAACGAACCTGCCTGAGTGGGTTCAAATGTGAGGAGGAAGTGAAGGTGAGTGCCATCCTGGCTCGCCTGGAGAAGACTGCACTTAAATGGTGCACCTCTACCTCCAACAAGCAGAAAATGGAAATGGCAGACTGGACGGAGAGGCTGGGGGTGTCTGGTTTTCTGCAGGCCATAAAAGCAGCAAATAAAATTCTGCAGCTGGGTCAGAAGAGATTCGATGGTTCCTTGTCGAAACTCTATTCAACCTTTGAGAGTCTTACATCGACTCCCGGGTTAGAGATGAGTGAGCAGGACTTGCTCATTCATTTTTTGAGAGCAGCGCCTGAGAGATACCAGATTGCTCTCCTCTTAGGGCCATAAGGACTGGCGGTCCTTTGGCAGAGCAACCCTGGACTTGCTCCATGTTCAGGAAGCACCTTCTGAAGGAAGGAAGGGACCCTCCTCAAAGGGGCGAAGAAGGAGGAAGGGTGCCCTGTTTGCCGCTGCAGCCTCAAGTTCAGATGATGATGCAGCATCCCAGGGTGGGACCTCTCCATCTGGGATTGCCTCCTCATCTGCTGCAGATTCTGTTGTTCTTGCCCTGGCTGACAGTTTGATGGGACTGACTAATGGTAAGGCCCTAGCCCAGAAAGCATCAACCAGTAGTAAGGGGAAAGGAAAGGGATGTGCCTCTTCCCCTACGGCCCAGAGAGTTCCTTTACCACGAGACGTCCGTTGGCCAGCTGACCCCCTTGATCCTTCCACCTTCCCCTGGCATGATCCAGGAGGGGGTTTGGAGGAAGAGAAAGGACAAGGGTGTCTGCCTGAGATGCGAGGGGGACGACTATTTGAAGGATTGTCCGCATATGCCTCGTAGGCCTTCAACTTTGAAGTAGAGAGGAGAGAGGTGGAGTCTGCATCTCCTGCCACCTGTGCTGATTCATCGTCAGATGAAGTTGAATTGTCACCCTCTCTAGCTGATTCATTTAGGAATTGCATCATCAGGGTCCTTCACGTATGAGGACACTGATTTGTGGCAGGTCTAGGGACGACACAAGTAAGGGTCGCAGCCCCTTTTACTTGTGACCGGACTTCTCTGAGGAGACGTTTCCTACTTCCCTGGACAAACGTATTTGTGTTGCGCTGTCAGAATTTGCTGATTCAAATTCTGGCCATACTCAACGTCCTGACTAGTGTTAGCTGCTGGTTGGCAAGTTTCCCTCGTCTTGACGCTGAGTGGTGTGAGCCATTGCTCCAGGCTTTCAACATCTTGCCCCTGACTCCTTGTCTGTTAGACAAGTTGAGTCCTAGCATGACTGTCACTGACAGCCTGGGTGTTTGTGTCTTCATGCTCCACCATGTTGAGGTTGCTTGTTTTGCCCGCAATCTCTTACTGCAGTCCTTCAATCTAGAATGATAATTGTGGTTGAGAGCTATGGGCTCCACTACACCACTCTACTGATCGACTGCACTTGGTTCCATGTCTACTAGGGGTGAATACTCGGACCGCCGACTGTAGCTCAACCTCTAGGTAGCTCAACTTTTCAGCATGGCCGATTGCACCATAGTCGGGTGCCAAGTCTTACTGTGGCCATTTGACGCAATCGAGACCGGCTGACACTCTGAGTTCGCCTTTCCCTGACATCACTGTTTTCAGTGCTGGTCATGAGTATAGGAGATCGGACTGCAACAATAGGGTGTCGCCTACGGAACCTCAACTTTTCAGAAGTGGTCGATTGCGCGACAGTCAAGGACCAGGTCTTACCGTGGTTTCTTGATGCAGTCGAGACCAGCTGACACTGTGAGGTTACCTCCTCCTGACCTTGCTGTTTGCAGCAGTGATCAGGGGCCTGGGTTACCCCGCGGGTCTCTCGGGTTCTCCTCTTCAGGCAAGAGCTCTCACTCTACACCCACTTCGTCTGCTGGTTCATTACCAGGAAATGAAGTATGGGCGCGGAGGTCCGCTCTCCCTGGGGGGGTAAGTATGTAATGAAGCCTGCAGATTCTCAATGGACTGTACATTGGGCCAAGGGCGAAGCTCGGGGCTTGCCTCGGTCGGGTCGCGTCTTAGGTTAGATTCATAATTTTGTTTGACTGAGGGCTAACCGTGACAGCTGACTGTGAGGAAATTCGTGAGGGACATATCTGCAAATTTGGGAAAATTATAGGCCCGCACTAACCGAATTCCCTACAGTTACCCTAACTGCGTATAGCAGGCCCGGGCTACCCCTAGGATGGACAGGCCCTAAGGGTCTATGCCAATAGACAGTCCTATAGCCTATAGCCGGGTAGGGAGAGGCCGAGAGGCCGAAACTGAAACAGCACCGGTCGGTCCAGTCAGTCCGGTTTAGGTCGTGTCTAGGTTAGTGTAGGTTATAGATAGGATGGGGACATCGGTTCAGGGCTTTTGGCAGTTGGTATCGAGTACATCGCTGCTGTACTACGCGTGAACCGTAAGTGGTGATGGCTCAGCGTTGAGGGAGACAGACATAGCCAGGCCTTCGGAGCGCCGGCCATAGCTGGGACCTGCGCCGTGCTCTGTCAGCACGCGGGGCTGTACAGAGGTCTGGGCTATTCGAGGTCTGCTGGAGGCGAGAGAAGTTGGTGCCCTGCTGGACCCTCCTCTGGGGTAGGGTTACAGGGTTGTGGCGCTGCAGCCATAGCTGCAGCCTCTTCCTCAGAGATGATCTTGTCAGGAGTGGTGGCGCTGCTGCAGACTTCCACCCGGGGAATCGTCAGACACTTCATCATCATCAGATACTGTGGTGCTGGTCTTCTTCTTCATCCTCTGAGTGGCGCTTGGCCTCAGAGGCCTGTTTCAGGGTGGCGCTTCCCTCTGGAGGCTGTATCTGGGTGGCGCTTCCCTCTGGAGGTTGTATCTGGGTGGCGCTTGATGTTTCAGGGACTCAGGGGTAGTAGTAGCGGTTCATCAGCGTTGGGGAGTGAAACTCTGAGGTTAATAAACAGTGTTGATACTGGGTTCAGACTATCATCGTTTCATTGTTTCTTTGATGTGATCTTCTCGGCTTTCCTTTATGACTGGTTGTGAGGATTGAGTGGAGTGAATTGCACTTTCAGTGTACCCTGTCATATCGCATGGTCAAGTCTTCCGCTGTGTTTATCTCTCCCTGTGCGGTGTGATACTCCTATCCTCTCCCCTTCCTTGTGTATGTATGGGCATACCTGGAAGTCTATGTGAGTGAGTGTTGGTCTTCAGACAACAGACAGCCAGAATGATAACACAAGTATACAAGATCTGGAAATAGATCCAACAGAATGGACCTGGAGGACCCCCAACAGCTTCTCCACCACCCCACAACTTCACAGACTAATGGACTACAAACCCAAACTAGGCTATTGTCTCTTCTCCAAACCCACATGAATAGTCAACACCCTACAAAAAAGGTGGGCAAAAGAAGACAGCACGCTTGCCGAAGCTCAAATATCCCCTCCTTGGTCAGCAAAATTTTCCACTAGACCACTACAAGTAGCCTGCAATGGCTAATAGGTTTTAGGGCAGTACCCGTGAACCATTGGCTGACGCAAAGACGCAGAAAGGAAAACAGAACAGAACAAGACTCTTGGTGCAAAGTAAACTACTGCTTCATTGACTTCCCAGAAGCCAGGAAACTATGGCACGATGTAGAGACTATTTCGAACACCCTCTCCAACCAGTCCATCACAATAAGCCATTTCTTTATTCCTGGAATTAGAACAAAACCCACCCCTCAAAGGCTTTGAAGCATTCTTCTTTTCAAGCATCAGGAAAGGTATTCCGTGGGCTTTATGGAAAAGGAGATGTGACAAAACCTTTGATGACCGCCCCCCACCCTGAGAACCCAACAATCACAATAAAGCAAATAATAGAAACAGAACTGTTCGCACTTTGGAAAAGAAAAACAAATCAAATACACAGTGCCCTGGACAAAAAAAAGGAAATAACCCGAAAATTTGTCACCTTAAAACTAGGAACAGGCTACCTAGGAGCCATCAAGAATGATACACTGACCCTTACGAATTGGCTAATCCTCCCACCCGCAAGTACCAACATCTTCCCTGACTCACCTGCAACATCCCCGATCCCAATACAGACTAACCCACACCAAACACACAGCTCCCAACCGACACAGTCCCTGCATTAACCACCTCAGATGCCCTGCAAGACCCCCACCATACATCACCTCTTCGCCCCCTTCCCTTCAATAGCATTCCCACAACCCCTGTACTACATTCTCATTATCACCTCCTCCACATCAGAGGAGTAAGAGCCTTAAGCACACAGGAAGTACCAATCGACTCCACACCCCAGCCAGATTGATCTCCAACCCCATCATTCGCACTACCTCAACCCTGTTACTATCCCCCCAGATCGCCACCTCTTACCCCAAACAATCACTACATATATAACTATTGCTAATTTCCTGCCTGTGACAAGCAGACGATCGGGGCCCTCCTATCTTTTGCTGCACGACGGTACCGATCGTCTACTGATCGTTTTTTCTTAGAAGGTGAACCGTCGTACTGGTCCTGTGGTGCACCACGCGCGGTACCGGGCCCGAGTGCCTACCCCGGCATTGCGCATTACCAGGCCCGCGTGCCTACAGGCCCAGCGCCGGTACCACGAACTGTACTGGGGCAATGCACGAGTGGAACATACCCCGCCCTCTCGACACTCTAGGCTACTCTACAGGCACACTAAGCTACTCGAAGACAATGTCGACTGGACTCAGCGCTGCTCTACGCTACTCTACTCGTTCTACACACACACACACACACACACACACACACACACACACACACACACACACACACACGCACACAAAGATACACAAAATGTCGAGGTTCAACCTCCTGATGAGTCGGTGACAGTCCGACAAAACAGTCTGGCACAGTCATGCTTTTTTTTTAGTGTATAGGGAATATGACAACACACACGCACA